GATACGGGAGAAATAATTAGAGAATGATTTAAGATCAACAAAAAGAGTTTAAAAAGGTTTTCATTGGACTTTCTTGGATTTTCTATTATGGAAAAATAGAAGGCCTGGGATAGCCGATTGCTTTGTTCCCTTTCCTCTCTCCTTCCTTCATCACGCTGTGTCCAGAGGGTCTGAGAATCCTTAGTCCTTTCCAGCTCCCTCTTGGGGGTGATCCGTGTCTCCGGTGGCCTGGACATCTGGCTGTGCTGCCTGGGACCCAGCACCTCCCCAGCTTGCCGAAAGTCAACAGCATCCTCATACCCGCACCCAAGATCATTCAGGACATTTCCTAATTTTTCTTCTCATAAATCAGAAAACTTGTTGTAGCCAAGAATTTTGCCTCTGCCACGATCCCAATGCGGGGCCTGGGCCACCCCAGCACCCTGGAGTTCAGCTTCTGTTTAGATCTGGCTCGGACCCCTGGGCTGCCTCTCTTTGCCCTTGGGCTCTGGAGCAGTGCTTGGCCCGATGTGGGCGGCAGCCCTCACGGGGTGGATGGGTGAAGGAATGACCGCATTTCTGGTGGGATAAGTGGGACAGCGTGTGAGAGGCGTGTGGTGTGAGATGCCTCACACAGCGGGCACCGCACGATTGCCTTGGACACACTAAAGCACCATGTTTGCTCTTGGATGGTTCGGATCGTGTGGAAGGTGGAAACATCCTTTGATTAACAAATTATTTCATCCTCGCTGAGTCTGATCAGTTTCTGCTTGAACTGGTTTAGAGGGTGAGCGACCGACTCCCCGGGGATCGGGGCAGACACCCTGGGCTCTCCGGGCTCCCTCGCTGACTGGTTCCATTCATCCCCGGCTGCTGCTCCCCCTCTCAGCCTCTCAGCCCTCCTGACCTGAGGGATCTGATTTCTTAGGGAGCCTGCTGTGCCCATCACTATCAGCTTTCCCCCTCATTTCAGCCGAAGGCTGCTTGTTTTCCTCTGACCAGCCTCTTTTGACTCAGCTGCTTCCGAAGGCCACAGCCTCCCAACAGGGGGGTTGGCAAAGGTGTCCCCGCCTTGCACAGGAGCAGGATGATCTGCGGACTCAAAGGCCACCATCGGTTGAGTTCTCACCAGTGTGTGTGATGGAGGGGTTACAGACAAGGCCTCACCCAGCAACTCAAAGTAGCCCTGGGTATCCCCGTCCTATGGATGAGGAAACTGAGGCCGAGATTAAGATATTTGCCCAAGGCCTTGGAGCTACTAAAGGGCAGAATGAGGTTTGATCCTGTCCTATCTTGGTCCAAAGATGCTGCTAAACCACGGGCGGCCCAGGACTTGGGTCTCTGAGCTTTCTTTTTTAGGATGATGGGCTGTTCACCCCATCATTCATCCGCCAGCCAGCATCTGAGAGCTGCCGCCTGCACCACACCATAAGGACTCACCCCTGATGGAGATGTCTAAAGTGACCTCAAGGAGCTCACACTTAAAGGGACCAAACACCCTGAAGGGAGTTATAACACTTCATCATGTCTGGCCGTGGGGGACGGAGCCCCAGAGGCATGAAAGTCCTCCGACCTGGCGCACACCAGCAGTCACAACTCTATGCAACACACAGGCACCTGCATTTTTTGGTGATTTTTCTGCCTCCTCTGATTTCATGTAAAAGGCTCCATCTTTAGCTAGTCCTAATATTTGGCCTCTCTAACTTCCCACATAGCCATAGTCTGCTGGAGATTTAAAAGGGCCTGTGTYCTCTCGGATCCCTGCACCCTGCCCACTCGGCCCACTCCCGTTCACCCATCTGGTCCCGGGAGGCATTTCACCCTGGGAGCCCGCCCCCCCCCTCATAAAATCCCCCAGGAGTAGGGACTGTATTACCCTCTGGGAAGAGGAGGGCCAGGCAGCAGCTTGAAACATATCAGGACAAAAGGCCAGGTTTCGCCAGCAGCTGAAACTTGCAGCATGATTGACTGACCCTGGTCTCTGGTTAATGAGACGAACGATCAAGGTGAGCGATGTCTGCCAGAGGATCTCGTACACATGTAGAAATCCCTGGGCTCGATACCAAAGGCTGCAGGGAGCAGGGTGGAGAGACTCTGAAGCTAGGAGTCACAGGACCTAGTTCTAGTTCAGTTCAGTTGTCCTCCATGCCTTTGACCTTGGACAAAATTAAGCTTTCTGTGCCCTTTCCTTGTCTGAGAAATGAGGTCATTACCCATCCTGGATATCTCTCAATATGGTTGCCAAGAACAGCCAAGACACGTGAAAGAACACCGAGAAGAGGAACTGCAATCTAAATGGAAGGTAGTAGTATTTCAGAGGACTGTATTAAAAAGCTGAATTAAAGCTAAAATTAGAACACTGAGCTCTTCCTGCTGCTGTACTCCCGGGCCCTCCTCTCCCTCCCCTCCAGTTCCCTGGTCTTTTATGAATCACAGTCATCAGGAGCTATATTTCCAATGTGGAGGATTCGGGTGTACACTCTGCTACAACTCACCCTCTGTCTATCTCCCATCTGACCACATCCGGGTGTTAGTGCTCATAAAACCTGTAGTCATGGTGACGGTGAAAGGCCCAGCTCTCATTCGGAAAAAGATTTTGGAGCTGGTTTTTATGGGTGTGGAAAGTGACTAGGTGAGGTTTTATTTTTGGAACCAGGAGCCTCTGAGGTCATCTGTGAGTTAGCAGTGGTTGGGGTGGGGTAGTGCCTTTTCTGCTCTACAAATAAAGGGAGAGTTCTGTTCCTGGCCCACTCCAAACACTGATGCTTGTCTCCAAACGTCACATCCTCTTGGAGGGAAGGAGTGTTTTTTGAAACAGCAAGAGGACAACCAAACACTTGTGTCATTCCTGGCCTCCCACACAGGTGGTAATTAAAAAATAGACCTTCAATTAAAAGTTGCACAATTCTCCTTAATGCCAGAGAAGGGAATTTAGAGTTCTGCAAACTTTGCAGCAGTAACAGAACGGCTGACTTCTTTTTCTCCGTGGTGATGCGAGAGAAGTTTATAGGCTGGAGTAGTTGAAAACTAATGGGGCGGCAAAAATATACAATTATGCAACTCAAAAGCAGGACAGAATTCTACTTTCCTTTCCATTTCCTCCTTTCGTTTAATGTTAACAAAAGTCCAGGGCAATTAAAAGCCAAACACTACCTTATCGCACTATTAAGCTTAAAATGTAAAGGCCAAATCACACAGTGAGTGAGCAGAAGTAGTCTCATTTCAATAACAACTCATCCTGGTGGAATGGACAGTGTGGTATATTTCGAAGTCACCAGGCTTCAGGTCCCAGCCTCCACCCCAGAGGGTGACTGTGCAGGGGATTCACACGGCCTGAGGACCAGCCTCCACTTCCTTTCTGCAGGGGTGTAAATCTGCATTCCAAACGCTGCCTGGAGGCTCCTTCCTCTGAGAGTCTTGATAATTAATAGCTGATGAATGCAGAGGACATATATGAGAGAGCTAAAGTATTCACTGAACACCGTTCAGCGCCAGGCAGGCGGTTCTCCTCCTCCCCCTTCTCCTTTTGCTTCAGCATCTAATCTCTTTGCTACAGATGACCCCCCCCCCACACCCCCAGTCTCATTAAATGCAGCTGCACTGTAAACATACTGTGGCTTCTAAACCTCTCTGGCTCCGCCCCTCCCTSTGACCAAATATCTTCCTCTCCATCTCAGAAATGCCCTTCCCAAAGGAAACTGAAAGTACAGTGGTTCCCCCTTACCCAAGATCTCACTTTCTGCAGTCCTAGTTACCCGCTGCTAAAAATATTAAATGGAATATTCCAGAAATAAACACTTTACAAGTTTTGAATTGTGTGCCATTCTGAGTAGTGTGATGACATCTTATACTGGTCCTTTCTGTTCAGTCTGGGACATGAATCATCCCTTTGTGCAGCATATCCATACTGTATATGCTACCTGCCTAGTGGGCACTTAGCAGCCATCTGGGTTATTAGATTGAATGTCAGGCTATCTCAGTGTCTGTGTTCAAATAACACTTATTTCACTTAATAATAGTCCCTCATTGCAAGAGTGGCAATGCTGGCAGTTCTAATACTGGGATATAGAACACAAACGACTGGAAATGAATGATAGGGTCTTTTTCATGGTACTGAGGTTGAACCCAGGTCTTTAGACATACTAGGCGAGTACTCTATCTCTGAGCTATATTTCTGGCCCTATATTATATTTTAAAATTAAATTCTTTTAAATTGTTGTAAGGTGTATTGTTATAATGATTCTATTTTTATTATTAGCTGTTGTTGTTAATCACTTACTGTGCCTAACTTATAAGTCAAACTTTATCCTAGGTGTGTATTTATAGGGGAAGACCGCTGGCGGTCTTAGGATGTACCCCCCTCAGGTGAGGGGAGACTACTCTGTTGCAAACGCATGATTTGGGAGTGTGGATGAGAGGAATTGTTGGGATCGCAGGGGAGGCCCCATCCATACCACACTGTGCGCACACACACATCCCCTGGCCTCCTCTCCTTCCTCCTTACCCTCTACCCTGCCTCTGTTCTGTCTGTGCCTGGAGACATCAAGGCTTTCTGGAATGCTCTTGAGGCTCCTAGGAGACGGTAAGGTGGTGGGAGAGATTAGGGAACTCGGCCCCTGTCTCGGGGCTCTCTGCTATGGCCTCAGGGCTGGGCACCAGCCTACACACTTTATCTCCCTCTGGCAGCCCGGAGCACGCTGTTTATCAGACCAGCCATCAGGGTGTCCAGGTCCTGAAGGAATGGATGTTGGCGGAGACTCTTTGATAGAGCAGAAGAACCTGAAAGTTGGCCTGTGGCCCTGCTAGTTAGAAAGCAGGAAAGGGTCCTGGGTGGGTTTGGCTGGGAGCAGCCAGTGAAGGGGGCAGATGACCTTGCATTTCCCCTCACGGCTGGACAGCCTGTGGGCCCCAGACCTCCTGACCTGGCTTTCACTTTTCCTGGTTTTATTTATTTATTTTTTTTTGTTTTGTTTTTTGTTTATGCTCTTGTGTGTGCAGTAAGAGAAGCAGGTCTGACTTACTTAGTGTGTGTCCTGGGGAAAGTCACTCAGCTGCTTGGGGCCTCATTTTCTTCATCTCCAAAATGGGATAAAATCTAAAAGAAGAAACAAGAAAACGATAGCATGTGTTGTCTCTTTGGAAGGCAATTGGGGACAGTGCTGGGAAATGACTTTTCTCTCAGTCCTTTGGTACTGTTCCAAATGTTTGATCGCCAGCTCACACTTCCTAAAGAACAAGCACCTGGAAGTGAATGACAGGGTCCTTGGACCAAAGCAGGCAATGCATGTGATTGTACGCTGGCTGGGCTGTGACTCAGAGTCACAGTTGGTATACTCTAGGTTGAAGAAGGGGCAATAACAAAAGCCACTCCTTAATTCCACCTGGTGTCAAAGTTTCTGCCTGAAATTCCTGAGAGATTTCCTCCAGTCCTGGGAGGTCCTCCTGCCTTCAAGCCAGAGTGGATGGGGGGATGCTGCTCTCATCCCTTCCCGGGCAGCTCTTTCGCCAGTGGTATAGAAAAGCAGAGGCCCGCCTGCTGGCTCCGTGCTGGGTGACTTGGGTCCTCCAGGTGCACAATGACTCCAGATTTTCTAGGGCCGGTGGAGCATGTCCACCCGCTGAGCAAGTTCCGACTAGCGCATTCCATCCAGCGCCAGGAGGCAGTGGGGCCGCTCAGGTCCCTGGGGTCAGGGAAGCTTTGTTATAGAACACGCAGGGTCTACCTCAGGCTGTTGACTGAGTCACTAATAAAAATGGTGCTGCCGACATACTTGATACTTGAAGAGGCTTGATGTCCACAAATAACAATGATCTGCATCAAGGAGAGGTGCCATTTGAATGATTTTCTCAGTTATATGTGAATTTCATTTCAAGAAGCATGAGTTAAGTATCTACGAGGTGACTGACATGGTACTGGGGGTGGGGTAAAAGGAAATGCATGACCTGGATCCCCCCCTGAGTGAGTTTCTTCCTGAGACTCAGAACACTCTAAGTCCTGCCTGCTGGGCCAGGTGGCAKCGAAGTCCTGGAACCTCAGAAGCCTCAGGCTCCTCCTCCTTGGGCTGCGAAGACATCAGTGACATTGACTTTGGAGCAGGCACTTGGTTGGGGAGGCTGTCGTTGCTGAGGGCGACTCTTTATCTGGACCTGCAGGTGCCCTCTGCGTGAGTGAAAGCGGGATGGAGCAGGGGACCCTCTGCCTTCATTTTGTCTCTGTCTCCTGAAGCTTTCAGTCAGGTCCCTGCTAAGCTCTGCACCCAGGCATGTTCATCATTTAAGGAATGTTCATTTAAAAAATGAGTAATATGTGGTTTATTTGCCCTAAATTTACCCAGACTATCCCCGTTGAAGATTAAGGCCAGGTTTGCAGCGTCTGGTTTCAGAGCCTGGGGTGGTGCTTAAAAGGCTTCCCTCATTGTCCTACACCTCCCAGGAAGAGCGGGAACAATCACCTCACAGAGCGGAATTGCCCCTTCCAGGATCCAGGCCCATGGATAAACATCCTGAGCAACAAGTGGCAATTGTCCCCTCAAGGGATAGGGACTTCTCCTGCGCTATGTTGCAGTGTGGGAGGCCAACCTTACTGGTGACTGAGTTATACTCTCCAGCTGGGTGCTGAGGAGCTCAGTCACAGAAATGGGTGTGTCTTGCTACAGCCCCATGGGTGAAGCTATGCTCACCTGTTCTTTGTAATATCACCCCTTGCCCTGTTTAGGATAGAATCTTCCATGGAAGTGCCTGGTGTGGGTCCCCTCCTCTTACTGTGCCCTTGGGTGTGGCCTACCCAGGTGTCAGTCAACCTGCTGACAGTGGACATCATGAAGATAGACTCAGCCCCCTGAAACCTGACCCTTTGTCTCATTTGAATAGCTTCTCCTCAATAAAAGGGGTCAGCGCGTGCTTTACTCTTACTCTCTTTCTGTGGACCCTTAAGGTCAGAGGAGCCGTCACAGTGACCCCAAAGAAAAAGGTATTTGTGTCTCTTGTGTGGTTATTTCGTGCAGCCCAGTTAGCCCACTAGAGTGACCCCTGACCCTTTTAGTCGAGAGAACAGAAACCCGACATTGCAGAACCAGAACTGGAGAGTGATCAGCCAGACCACACTTGACCAAGGCAACCCAGTCATACAGCCCGCTCAGCCCCACTGCCAATCCTTCCCCTATTTGGACCTAAAGCTCTGTCAGCACCCTGAAGTTAGGCTGAGATGCTGGGTCTCACTCTGCCTTCTCAACGTGGCCATACTGATTAAAGTTTTCCCTGCTTTTCACCATGTTGTTTTTTGCTTGGGGCAGGGGGCCCAATCTGGTTCATGGAGACCCCTGGAGGCAGGCCTCTGGCCTAGGGTGCCAGTCACAAGTTCACTCATCCAGTGTCACTGTATAGGTCAAATATGATACTCATGCAAGTTCTCTGTAATCTGAAAATTCTCTGAAAAATTTAATTTAAAAAAATGATAGCAATTAAATGCTAAACTAAATATCAGCAAGTGCCAGATGCACGCATTCTTAGGAAGGAGAGAGATGGATTTTGGCTTAGKTTTTTTGGGAGAGGGATGCAGGAGGTGGCTGCTGTGGGGCTGCGTGTTCTCAGATGGAGGAATGGCATGCTGTGGGGGCGGGGGTCCTGGGTGAGTGCACAGGGTCTGAGACTGGGATGGCAGTGAAGACATCGTCTGAGAAAGAGTGGGAAGGGGGCCGTGCAAGCTAGTTTGGTGGGATTTAACCAGGGCTCTGAAAGCCTCGCATGGGTTTGTTGCAATGGACCCCAGGAAGGCTCAGAAGTGGTGAGCAGAGGGCACCTACTGGTATCCATGTTTCAGTCTCCACTTCCTCTTCCCTGAGCTCACTCCTAAGTAAAAGGACTCCGTGCCAGCACTGAGGATTTTGCAGGATGAAGCCCCCACCCCTAGGCCTTCTGGCGGTCTGCCCTACCCAGTTGGGTAGAGTAATCACAGATACTGCAACAAAAAACCTTTTTATTAATAGCACACTTTCTCCCTTAGACAAAATCTGATTATGACCTGAAATGAAATATCACCAAACCAATCAGAAAGAAACTGCTATTTATCTCCAGATCCCTTGGGAATGGGGGCGGGGCGGGCAGGAGATAAAACCACTGATGAGATCACTTCTCCAGTCTGTGAACTGACACCCAAACGGGCCTTGGTTTTATTTATGATTAGGAAAAGTCTACCAACATTAACACTCATCTGAATGTCTCTCTCCTGCAAAGGTTTCTTCTTTCCAGCCTCTGAAATGTGAAAGGGGAGGGATTTCTTGTAAAGAGCAAAAAATGGCTCAGCATTGTAAAGCTGGCTGGTGGCCACAGCAGATGGCTGCAGCCTTCCCATTTCCCAGTGTGATGCTCTCTTCACTGCTCCAGGTCCTGGAGAGCAACACAAAGGGGACAGGAACGTTGGTCCAGGGCCATCACACTCTGAGATCTGTGACTCTCCTCTTGCTTTGGGGTTTCCCACAAGCTTCTCTATGTGGAACCCACAACTGTTTCCCCATCACCACCACCGAGTCCCCTGGCTTGTATTCATCCTCAAAGTCTCAGCAGAGACCTTGGGAAACCTTTGACCTTGTTAAAGGTCAGGGCCCTGCTCTTTGACCTGCACTGGACCTTACTGTAACCATGTCCAACCAGCATTAGGGTAATTGTTTATTATTTAATCATCTTTGTTTCGGCACAATAGATGGTATCTATTTCCATCACCACACCCCCAACTTCKGGGACATATTTTGTCCTTGGGAAATTTCTGCTAAATTAATGAAAGAACATTTTTATAGATGAAAGTACTCTGAGACCCACTGAAATTAAATGACTTGTCTGAGGTCTCACACACAGCTAATAAAAGATGACAAGGCTGTTCTCCTCCCTGTCCACCTAGTGCTGCTTCCACAATGCCACACTGGTCTCTAGGTTCACACACGACATTGTCATCAGATAAAAGAAGATATTCGGGGGAAAAAAAAATCTGCCAATTGGAATTTCAGTATTCTGGGTTTGGAGAATTCTTTCAGCGAGGCAGCATGTTCAGACGCCAGATATGCTGGGGCGTTCCAGGGTAGGCACACTCTGTGGACAAAGACCATTGGCCTTAGTGGACCTTGGCCTTGTTGTGGGGTGCCATATTGAGWATTAAGATGACATCACTTGGAAGTGAGATTGCCCCCTTGTGGTTGGAAAGCCTGGGTTGAYATGCTCCTGGAATTCCCAGTGTTAGGGTTTGGATGTGAGGTGTTCCCCAAAAGCTCACGTGTGAGACAATGCGAGGTGGCAGTGAACGGGTTCTGGTCGGGTCTTTTAGTCCAAGCAGCGAACTAGCTGACTGCAGCACCAGTGTTCTCGAATGGTGGCATTTCATCTGGTGATTTCCGGCTCAGGCCAACCGAGCAGAAGTGTGTGTGTCCTCCTCTGCGTCTCGTGACCCCACTGATTACTGCCACTTTGTCCCCCGAAGGGGAGCTCTCTTTGCTGCCTCCTTCTCCCTTTGCTGGTCCAGGGTTGCTGACACCATGGACGCTGCAGAGGCCAACAGCTGCCCTCGAGGTCACGTAGGGCAGCAGAGAGTCTAACTCCGTGTACGCTGGTCAGGCACCTCCTGTGCGCACAGGGCCTCCCTCTCCTAAGCCTTTCCAGATAGCRCTGCCTGGTGAGAGTCTGGGAGGACTTCTGACCTCATACAGACTGTCAACTCCAGGAAGCTGCTGCTTTGTTGGGAAATGCACTCGTTAAGTGGCCCCAGGGAAACGGAAGTCAACGGTTATGGAAGCTGTTGATCCCACTGGGGAGTGGGTGAAGGCTTTAAGGAGGTGAGACTTGAGTGAGAATCCACAGGCGGTTTACAGGCAGCGAGGCTGGGGAAGAARGGGGTTCCAGGCTGCTCAAGAAAGCACAGCTGGCTCTGGGGAAGCGTCTGTGGCCCCGGTGGCCCGGCTCCGGCCTGATCTTCAGGGTTCCCACCTCCCCTGGGGGACGTCCCCTCAGCTCCTCCTCTGGCAGCGGCTCTGGTTACCAGGGCGCCCAGGGGGCAGCGGCACAGGGCAGGGATTCCTGAAGGCTGTGGCCCACGGAGGAGGACCACTGGGA